CCCAGGCTTGGGGCTCAAATCTCTGCTCCTTTCGAAATCCCAGGATGTCTGGAATAGGGGTCAACACACACATCTATATATATATATATGTATATACATATATATATATATATGTATATATATATATATATGCATGCCCTGTTAAAAGACGCTGGCCAGGCCGCGACCTCCGGGCTCGGGCTTCGGGGCCCTCGAGCAGGCTCGGGGCCGCGCGCGACCTCCGCGCCGCGGTCTTGGCCATCGGAGGCCGCCCGGGGAGGACGCCTCCCCCATCATGGTCAAGGATCGGAGGTGGACAGACCTCCTAATTACCCTGACGCGTCGATGAAGGAATTGGCCGTTTTCGGCTCGCGAGAGGGCGTCGCGGCCGTCATTGTTGCGGGTCTGGGTCCGTCGGTTTCGGTCTCAGGCCGCTTTCACTAAGGGGAGGTTGACTAAAGGGAGGTTTGTCCACCGCCGAAAGGAAGCCTCCTCCGAAGGGCACGATGGCCAGCGAAGGCCGCCGATGGCCGCTCGGGGCCGCCGAATGAGGCCGCCGACCTGACGTGGCAGGCGGGTAGTCTTATGTCGGGCCTGTCCCCCTACAGGGGGATTTTCGACGACAAATAAAAAATAACCCCAAAAAACCCTAAGAAGGTCAATCAATACCCACAAAAACGTCCCCAGACTATTTTGGGAGTATTTTTTGATTATTCCCAACCATCCTGTGGTGTTGGGTCCTCGTTTTGAAAAGACGGTGGCCCGCGTCTCCTCCTCCTCTCCTCCTCTTTCCTCTCCTCTGCCGTCCGCATGCGTCCCGCACACCCATTTCGGCACACCCCTCACACGTTTCGTGGCCCCATAGGGAGCTCCACCGAAGGCCCCAGTGCTGCCGTCCGCATGCGTCCCGCACACCCATTTCGGCACACCCCTCACACGTTTCGTGGCCCCACAGGGAGCTCCACCGAAGGCCCCAGTGCTGCCGTCCGCATGCGTCCCGCACAACCATTTCGGCACACCCCTCACACGTTTCGTGGCCCCATAGGGAGCTCCACCGAAGGCCCCATGGCTGCCGTCCGCATGCGTCCCGCACACCCATTTCGGCACACCCCTCACACGTTTCGTGGCCCCACAGGGAGCTCCACCGAAGGCCCCAGTGCTGCCGTCCGCATGCGTCCCGCACACCAGGTGTGTGGCGTGCCGACATGGGCGTCGCGGCGCGCGGGCGCTGCCGTCGGGGTTCCCAGGGAAGCCCCCTGCAGAGGCGACGCTCAGAGTCACGAGTACCGAGAGTCACGCAGACCCAAACTGTTCACAGTCGTATACATACATTTACACTGGGCGTATCCATGCACGCATTCATGCGAGTAGAATCAATCGCGCGCAGATTCATTCATAATCAGACTCGCTCGCGATCCGACTCGCACGCGCTCAAGCTTTCATATTCGGACCTATCGTCTTCGTTCGTGTTGTGTACACTGCCACGCATTTCGGCACACCCCTCATACGGCTCGTGGCCCCATAGGGAGCGCCACCGAAGAAGATATTCACAATTTCGGTACTCTCAACTGCATATGGTTGGGTCCTTCGCCAGGTTAATTTTTGGTGTATTTTTGTATTTCTCGTCGAAAATCCCCCTGTAGGGGGACAGGCCCGACTTGAGGGTAGCTGGCGTCCCACGGCGACGGCGATGACCACGGAAGTCGACCCACGGACCTTTGCAGGAGCTCGTTCCGGCCGCGATGTCGGGGGGCCTCGTGCCGTGGGGCGACGGGGGCCTTCGAGGCGAGGCCCAAGGAGGGCAGGCCCCTGCTCAAGCCACACGGCGAGATCCCCCGCCCTCGAGGAGACCCAAGGAGGGCGAATAAATAGCTCGATCGAAGAAGGAAACAACGCAACCAAACATAATCGCGTGGCGCTCTCCGCGCGGGTTCCTCGGATCCGCGCTGGGCCCCCCGGCAAGACATCCGCGCGGACCGCCGAAAGATGATGCTTATGGCGATGTTCCTTCTTCTATTGAAGTCCTTCGACGGCCACCTCTGCGCCGCTGTCTTGACCACTGGGGGCCACCCGAGGCCTCCGAAGGGCGCGGGAGGAGGCCGTCGCCGAAGGCCACCGAGGCCGCTGGAGGATCCGTCGCCGATGGCCGTGGGAGGCCGGCGCTGGCCGCCGGAGTCCGCCGTACGGCCGCCGCCGCCGCCGCCTCCTCACGCCTCCTCCTCCTCCTCTCTCCTCCTCCTCCTCCTCCTCACTCCTCCCTCCTCCGCTCCCTCCTCCTCTCCTCCTCCTCCTTCCCTCCTCCTCTCCCTCCTAACCCTTCCTCCCACTCCCTCCTCCTCCTCACTCCTCCTCCTCCTCCTCCTCCTCCTCCTCCTCCTCCGCCTCCTCCCACTCCTCCTCGCTCCCTCCCTCCCCTCCCTCCCGGCGAGCCAGGCTTCCTACCAGTTGCAGCCCCTCGCCAGCGGGACCTGCCTGGCGCCCCTGCCCGGGCACGCGGCCGTGCAGGAGATCGGGTCGCCAGGGTGGCCTCTGGTGGATGTTTTTTTCTTCGAAGGGCTTAGGCGACCCGTCCTTCTTCTCCTCCTCATCCACCTCCTCACCTCCTCCTCCCTCCTCCTCCTCCTCCTCCCTCCTCCTCCTCCTCCTCCTGCCCCTCCTCAACCTCCTCCTCCTCCTCCTCCTCCTCCTCCTCTTCCTCCTCGGGTCGCCTACGGCCCCGGGGAAACCGTGCAGCCTCTGGGGCGCTATTTGCGGGTGGCGCGGGGGGGGCCATCTCCACCGACCAGACCACCCGAACCCAACCCGAAGGCCCAAATGTGCCCTCCATTCCCAGCGGGGAGGGGCGTCGGGGAACACTGAACAAGCACAGGTGGAACCCGCACCCCCCCAACCCGAAATCTCGGTGTTCTGCATCTTGAGCTGGGGCGTCCGCGCCGCGCGGCGGCTCTGGCCCCTCGCGCGCTGGTGTCTTCTGAAGCGGCCAGGGCCGCCGCGCGCGCTGCGGTCCCGACCCCTTGCACGTGGTGAGTTTCAGTTCTGCATGGGCTGGCCAGTGGTAAGGCGGGCATGTCCCTCTACAGGAGGGATGTTCGAGAATGGTTAGAACAGATTCTGGGGACGAGTTCCCTTGCGCTTTTGATTTTTGTTGCAGATGTTTTGATAGTTCCCATGTTTCGCCGAACATCTGCCTGCACGAGGACATGCCCGACCTAAGGCCAGTGCCGACGCGCGCGTGGCGGCATTGGCTCCTGGCGCCTGGGTGACTTTCCCTCGAGCAATGGCGGCCTGTCCCGCCCCCCTCCTCTTGGGCATGTTGTTTGGTCTTCAGTGCGGAGTGGCCGAAGGCTCCCGCGGGCGCGGCGGACCTGGCCACGGAGGAGGCCTAGCCCTGGTCATGGCCGCCGTCACACGACCTTGTCGCGGTGTGGGCCTTCGCGACCAGGGCGTCCGTGGTGGTGGTGGCGGTGGGAGTGCCTCCGCGCCTTCCACAGACGTCCCCAGGATGACTGGTGGGCTCCCCGAGTTCCAGCAAGTCGTATCTTGACGTGCTGGAGGATATGGGGCCCACCCAAGCAGATGGTACTTTGAACTGCTTGGAAGGCTTGCCACCGACGCTCGTCCGCACCCGCCAGGCAAGCTGTATTGCAAACTGCCTGAGAACCTCTCTAGACATGTCGAGTTGTGAAGTGCCCGAAAACCGCGTTCTCAACGTGCGTCCTCAAGATGTATGTCGGGCTCCTTGAGATCTAACCAGTTGTATTGGGAGGTGCCTGAGGATCTGGGGCCCAGCCGTGCAAGTTGCATCGTGATTGCGCGCCCGCCGCAAAGTCTTCCCAGAGGCCCGACAAAAGGTTCGCGGCGGGCCGAGAGAGGTCCTCTCGGCGGGCAGATTCTCGGGGGGCCGAAGGAGATTTCTTTCCAAGAAGCCGTCTGGGTCCTCGGAGGGCCGAGCGGACTTCCTCGGGAGGTCTGGAGGCCATCGAGCTACGGTGTTCTTCGGAGGGTGAAGGGGTTGTTTCTTGCAGGGCCCCGTGCCATCGTCTCGGAGGACCTAGCACGTTGCTTCGGAGGGCCGCAAAGAGGTCTTCTCGGAAAGCCGCAGCAAGTCGGAGGGCCCACAGAGGGTGCCCTTCCAAGAGCACTCCTTTTCGGAGTGCCCAAGAGTTCGTTTCGGGTGGCCCACGAAACCTGTTCTAAGGGTCCGAATGAGGGCTTTTCGGAAGGCCCCGGATGTACAGGCGAAGAGCCCAACAAGTATTGTCGCAGGTCTTTAAACATACATCTTCCGAGGGCCGACAGAGGTATCTTCGGATGGCCCGAGATGTCGTTTCCAAAGAGACGTAGGGCAACATATTCACCATGCTGCGAAACCTGTTATTTTGAAGGGTCACTGACTGCGTGGTTCAGAACAGCCGCATCTCCCCTACCCGTGCCTCAGCTGTCATTAGTGCGCAATGTTGTTTCGCTGACTGCAGTGCATGCACATACTATGTGCGCACGTGTTTTTGTATGCAGATTTGGTTAGTGCGTGAACGACAGGAACGTTGGAGCGGCGTACGTGTCCACCCCATGCCTTTGAGGGGCTCCATGAGCACAGCACCATTGAACAATCCACGCCGACACGTCCTCGAGACCCGCTGGCTGTTGCATACGTGCCCTATTCGGTCAAACGGCTCACACCGTTACCCCGACCCCCGGAAGAGGAGATGGTTTGCTTCCGATTCGGTATGTGTTGTTAGCCGTTTCCCGTTGTGCTACTTGCGTGGGGTTGTCGATGATTCGTCTTCCGCTTCCGCCGCGTCCGTTGCTGGGTTTCCCCGCGGCCTCCTGGAGGCAGGGGGGCGGCCCTCTGTGTTTCAGAGCTCCCGTGTGCCCCGGGGGGCCGCCTGTGGGATTTCCGATGTTATCCTTGCTAGCCCAGCCGCGTCATACGCATGAGTCACTTTCCAAGGGGGTGGCCTTGAGTCCTTGCCTCTATCGGCCCGTCCAGGTGACCCCTGCATCCTTTCGGATGCAGCTCC